TTTCATTCATTACATGTGGCAGACTGTCAGCCTGAGGAGTTTCTGTGGAATCGAACCTTCTCCGATGGCCAAGGCGGGCACCACTGCGGGCTAATGTGGCATGTGTGTTTTTGCTTGGTGTGGCCAGTGTTGCTACATATGTTGGACATCGATGCAACTGCAAAGTGCCCCGGAGCGCTCCTTGTCCGCGCGCTGTGTCGATGGTTGTCGCCTGGCTGTGCGTAGTTGGCATTCTTTTTTTGCAAAGTATTCCAATCAAGCCTTGGAAATCTGACTGGCACTGCATTGAAAGCTTTGAACGCGCCGAATGAGTTCATCCAGCCCGACACGCTGAAGTGTCCATCGAGCACCGACACCTCGAGTACTGCTCGTGCTCACCCTCCCAGGATCCATCGCCCCTGGTATGCTCGCAGGCCAGAGCCTCGACGAGGCTGCCTTCGGTGGTGGCCCGAGGATGTGCCCCGGTCGCTTCCTCGCGGCTCAGGCGGAGTTCGGGTGGGTGAGGAACTGCCATTGTCGCGAGTTGAAAAAAAGCACACGGGTCACATGCGTACATATGCAGGGCTAAACGACACATGTATAAACAAAGAATTAGGCACATGTGTATTCATAAACAAATAAACAAGTGTCGATGATCTTATATATATATATATATATATGTATATCTCTCTCTCGAGCAGCTCCAGAACAACAGCAGATAGAATCAAGCTAGAAGATTGCGAGTGACAACAAAGTGAAGATGCACTCAGCTGAGGCAGAGAGAGGGAGCGAGAGAGTGAGAGAGAGAGAGCGCGGAAACGCGACATAATGTTTACGGATGAAAGGATGAGCCGAAGAGCAAGCTATGAACCATGAACTAAAATAGACACATGTATATTCACATAAATATAGATACAGTTACAGGTATGTAGTTGTTGATCTGCATAACAGACGCATATATATATATGCATGAATATGTGTGTGTGTATGTATACATGCAGAGAATGAAGAAAATGACTTAGATATAGATAAACAGATGGACACATGTTAGAACAGCTAAGGATGCCACGATGCTTTCTGATGTTGCGACAGGTTGAAACAGGGCTTGTTCGGCAGTTAGAAAGCTCAGGGCCCAGGGCCTGCTTCGACGTCCTGCAGGATGAGGTCTGAGTCTACATAGAAGGTATGCTTCTTTGGAATTCTTTGGAGCTGTTTTCCATGCTGGAGCAGGGTCTCCGGTCGCTTGCTACATTGCTTGTTTGCCACTGTTTGCTTCTATCACGAAGTGCCGTACGGCGTCGTCTGTCTGGGTCCGTGGCAGCTCAGCACTAGTTTCATTTGTTGTGTGCCGCACATGGTGCAGTGGTGAGAGCTGAGGAAAAGCCCGATCCCTCTCGCAGCACTACATGACATGTCAAGTACCGTTAGGTAGGATAGCATGCATTGGGCTGACCGCCCTCTGATCACTCTCCCACCCTCTTCCGGCTTTATACTGTCGACAGGTTGCCAAGACAGTCTTGCGTGAGACTTGGACAGCAGTTGCGCTCCCAGACCTCTTGTATGGATCTCAGAGCCAGAAACACAGCCTCTTGTATTGACCATGCACCTGAACAGATCATGGGATTCATCGGAGTCGGGCAAGCAAATCCCTTCGCAAGGAGACGTTTCACTGATCCGACCTCTGGCAAAAACGCAGACCTGTTGCATCCCAGCAGCCCGAGCTACCAGAAACAAGGGTGGGGAAACCTGACTACGGCAAGCGAAAGCTTCCCTTTCAGGAGGTCCTCGGACCGAGCGGTTTCCGTTGGGAGCTGGAGCCAGGGCAGGACCTCTCACAACGCCACACGGCAACATCAGCGCGCTTGTAAATTTTGGGGGCTGTGGCCCTTTTTGTTTTTCTTGTCTGGGGGCGGGAGGATAAGATGGTTGAGTTTTCGTCTGCATCATCCGGCAGAAGGGCTTGAATGTGCGGAAAGTGCACTCACGAAGACTATCTGTCCCCCGATGCTTGCAGCTACAGTGAAGCAGCAGCTTGACCACTTTACGTCCTCTACTGTGGCTTGCAATCATAGCCTGCCAGTCAATGCAGTAGCACAACATGGTTGCACCCGAAGTTGGAATCTTTACCATGAGTCAAACCTTTCAAGCTCCATCCGTGCTCGAAATGACAAGCATGGCAGGTGCTGTTGAAAGGTTCCTCTCACTGCCAGCTTGTTGAACCTGCGCAGCCGGGGTGCAATGCTGCCATGGCTACCTCCTTTAGTTGTGTGCTCAGGCTACACGCCCGGCCTGTTCCCGGTGGATGGCCTGAAAGTGGTTTTGAAGAAGTGACGACACAATCCACCGTGCAGCAGTGTAGCCTTAGTTCCCGGAAGCAGTCTCGAACCCCTAAGCTGCATATACCAGCGATATATCCCCGGGTCCTAGTGCCTCTTGCCCCCGTAAAGAGTTCCGCAAAGCCTGAGAGCAGTTCGAGTGTCTCGTGTATACAGTAGGTCTCGAAGCATCGACTCCTCATGTCGAGAGCTCCCGACAGATGTGTGAAGATGTTTTAAGGCTTGTCCCCGTTTGGATGGGAAGCCTCCTTTAGGACTGGCGCAAAGGCTGAGAGAAGAAAGATTCCACAGGGTTCAGGATTTGGTCGACTGCTTTTCTTTTCAAACACCCAAATTTCGCAGCTCATAGATTTTACTACAACTTGTGGCCTGAGACGTCCGACATGACTCAGAATATGCAACTCATATGCGGCCTCAGCCATTCACTCGTTTACAGTCTAGCTGAATTTCCGAGCAGCGCCCCAGTTTGGGCAGGTTGGTCTCGAGCTCCCCCGTGGTGGCTGCTGACTTCAGCAGCGTCCCAGAAGGCATGTGTTCATCTCAACGTTCTGACACGGAAAACTGAGGCTTGGTCTTTGAGCTTCGGGTTTGAAGTTTCGGATCGGTTGAAAAGGGTGGGCTGGGTGTTGCGCATTGAACACGAGGTTTCGGGAGTTTGTCTTCAGCAAAGCTGCAGCTCAAAGACGCGCAGTTCTGTTCGCCCGATTTGCTTCTGTATAATGCCCACTACTGGTAACCACATCAAGCCGGCAAACCCTCCCGACAGCTCTGCCGACCTTCACCGTCAGGCGCTCCTCTCACGGTGCCCGATACCAAGACTTTGCACAGCAGGAAGTTTTCGTTGAGCCCGTAGCCTGCTTACTGGGCTTCAGAATCTCAGCAACGCAGCCTCAGCTTTGATAGGATCTACCATAGGATTTTGCAGGCAGAGGCTCACGAGATGCAGCACACACAGGAGGCTGCCAGGTTCGCAGGGAGGACTCCTCGTCCCAAAGATCTTCACAGAGATAGATACCATTCGTCACATGATTGTACATTGTGTACCCTGTATGTCTGTGTATGTACAAAAATATACAAAAAACTGTAACGATGTTTATACATAAGTATAAACATACTAGTATGTATACACACTTATGTACACATATATATATATATACACATAAACATACATATATATATATACACACATATGAGTGTTCACATGGGTGCATAACAGACTTGCTATATACAGTCTGGTCTAATCTAGTCTGGCCAAGTCTAGAAGAGTATATTGTAGTGAGTAAACAGAAGTAGTGTGTAATACATGTGTACATATGTATATACATATATGTATAGATACTAAAATATACATATACCTAGTAATCTACCTACAGACATATATACGCGCACACACACACACACACAAACACATTCATACATTTATGTATATGTATATGTATATATATATATATATATACATGTATATTTAGGTATACATGTATACATGTATTTTACTTCTTCACATGTTGTGTATGCGCATACAGACATGTTTGCAGTCTTGGCTACTAGCACCCCCTACTTACAGGCAGTGTTTTGTTTTGCTTTGTAGATCCTGCAGCGTCTGGGCAACCAGAACAACTCTGGTGAGAGTCCTACCAAAACCGCAAAGGCCTGGCCTCCAGGAAGTTTCAGAGGCTTTCCCGCAGGCGGTGCGACGAGGCGCGCTCATTTCCGCTTGTTCTGGTCGCAGACGAACTTCATATTCCGGTTTGCCGCCGTGTCATCCTCTTGGCTGTATGGAGTTGAAATTTTGTTGGATGTGATCAAGAAGCCGGACCCAAAAGCTGCAGCTTGACTGTGCAGGTGGCTCGTACAATGGACGCGACTGCGTGGACTTTGGTGCTTTGGCGGAGGCCTATTCTCCAAAAGCACCCGAAGCCTTCATTTTGAGCCTGCTCGTATCTGGTGGGAACAAGGACTTTGACGAGGATATAGATGGTTACGGGTATAGTGATTACCCCCTGTTGATGACGACGGCGAGGATAATAATAATGATAATAATGTTGTGGTTGTCTTGCGCTTCCTGTTAATGATACTGTTGGTAGAGGTGGTACTGGTGCTGGTGCTGGTGATAGGGTTGTTGATGTTGATTATGTCGCTGATGGCGGCGATGGTAGTGTTAGTTTTATTGATGTCGTTCCTCCTATTACTGTTCCAGCTACCGTCGCTGTTTGTACTACACGTTTCACGTTATTGTTCTGCCTGTCGTTATTCCTGTTGCTGATGTTGTGCTTATGAAGCCGCCACCACCACCGCCGCCTCCACCACCACCAGCCGCGCAGCAGCATCATCATGATGTTGTTGTTGTTCGTGGCGACGGTGGTGATTCAGCTGTGCTGGATGAGGGTACATTCCCAATGTAACGGTCATCAAGATACTCATAGCCACATCTCATAGCGTTATTCTTCTACATCTTCGATAGCATGACGGGATCCAGGTGCTCGGCATCATCATATCAACACTGCCGGCTTTTCCCCATCGTCCACTGTCATTTGATGATCGTCCACATTGTCCTCACCCGGCACACCTCCTGCTTCAGACGGCTGCAAACTGCGGATTGAATGTCAAACGGGCACTGAGCCATTCGACAGGCACTCCGATTCGGTGGCCACGGCACTGCCGCCGCCGAGCTCAACAAACTAGCAAATGTGGCCTTCGCTCACAAGGCTCTGCACCCTGCACTACGACGAAGTTTTTTGCAGGGCCAAGGGACGAACACAGGTCGTTTTGATGAATCAGCCAAAGCATAAATCCTGACCCTGCTGCATGCACCTTCTACTCAGAGCAGACTCAGAGCAGGCTGACAGTACAAAGGCTATGTCAGCGTCATGTCACCGCCTTCGGTTAGGCACCATGAACAGTCCTTGAAGCATGCTCAGCAAATAGTCAGCTCTTCAAGTCACAACTGGATCAGGCTCATACATTACGGCTGACTATGTTGACTAAAGCCTTCACAGAACGCGAAGGGCCCAGGACCCTCTATATAGGTCGAAGCCATCCAGCTCCTCTTTACGAATTGCGTATCCAGCGAAATCTGAAGTACTGACCTAAAAGCAAGCCTTCTGGTGGGAGTCCTTCTACAGGCCGGTGCAGAAACGCTTGCGGTAGCTCTGAAACTGCTATCGTATGCCACGATGTCAGTGACAATTATCGTCAAGCCTGACACAGCTGCAGGATGGTCGGGTGGAGGAGTCCTGGGATGGTAGCGGCTGGGTCGGCTATGCGGAGGCTCCGGAGAATTCCGAAATAGATGTCATCATGGTGAGAGCAGTGAAGATGCAGGCGGTGGTAGTCGCAGCAGCAGCAGGAGGAGGAGTAGTAGTAGTAGTAGTACCGGTACTGGTACTGGCACTGGTACTGGTATTGATAGTAGAGGAAGAAGTAGTAGTAGTCGTGGTGGAAGTGGTTGTGGTGGTGGTAGTGGTAGTCGTACTAGTCGTAGCAGTCGTAGTAGTAGTCGTCGTCGTCCTAGTAGTCGTAGTAGCCGTCGTAGTAGCAGGCAGCAGTAGCAGCAAAGTAGCAGTGGAAGTGGCAGTGGCAACACTAGCAGCAGTAGCAGTAGCAGGATGAGTAGCAGTAGCAGTAGCAGCAGCAGGAGGAGTGGTAGTGGTTGTGGTAGTGGTGGTCGTGGTAGTAGCAGTCGTAGTAGTAGTTGTTGTTGTGGTGTTGGTAGTAGCAGGACTAGTGACTAGCAGCAGCAGCAATAATCGTTGTTTTTTTGCTGATTGCGACTGGCTCGGGCTTCAGTTACGGGTCTTTGTCTCTGAGTGAAGTTTCGGGAGTCGAATGCTTCGTTGTTCGAGCCTTATGCCGACTCCAGCCGCTGAAGCCCAAAAGGAAACGAGAGCGAAGCACAAGGAAAGAACGAAAGGCTTCGACAAGTTTCTTCACAGACATGAAGTTCCAGCTGGATTGGTAAGCTCTGTGTCGACGCTTTGGGTCTTTGGCCGGAATCTTTCGGCAAGCGCCGGTATCCCCGGTCTCCGTTGCAGCTTCCTCTGCCAGCATGGCTCGCAGTTTACGTCGTGTGCGACACGAAGCCTCAAAGTCTAGGCTTCCGAGCTCTCAACATCACACCCGGAAGACCAAAGTGGATTTCTGCGCTCAAACAAAACAGCAGGCAGAGGCCGTCCTGGCAGCACCTCGCCCAGAAGCACCGCGAAGTTTGGCAGACCTTGTGCCTGGGTGAGTAAACATACACAAGCAGGACCTAAAATCATCGAAGAATGGTTATGGTTTCTGTATTCTGCGCAGTAGGATGTGGTCTGGGCAACTGAAGGTTCGAAGGGACAATTCAAGGGCAATCGAGTGACACTCATTTTTCCACTTCCCCTGAAGCGCTCCCTGTGGTTCTGTTCGTTCATGCTCAGCCACACGATGGTAGGGGTCAGCGATTGACAGTTGGCAGAACTGTTTGCTTGTATCGCTGCGTTGCCATGCAGGTGCCAAAACCCTGTGCTGCTTCTGCGAGCAAGGTCCGTGCGGTTGGGCTGGGGCTCTAAGCGCTGAAGCAAGGCCACAACACCCCCAGTCGAGTTTCCGCATTCGTCAACGAATCCGACTGCCATCCGAATCGGCAGTGAAGATCTGATCGCAGCTCTTTGATCAGAAGCCTAGCTTTCCAATTAGATTCCGATGAAAACTACCCTTGCAAGCCCTCAGCTCGAATTGCTCGACGTCCAAAGCCTGCTGAGTGTGCCCTCGATCAGACGCCAAGCCCCGCAACCCTGCCGCGAGGCAGCTCCGGTCACTCGCAGATGGGGTCGTACAGCGCAGGCGGCCGCCGAGCAAAAAGGAGCAAGAACTTCAGCCGACAGCACTGCTCTGCACCTGGCGGGGCGGGGGGTTGCGTCGAAGGGCTAAAGAGGTTTCTCGGGTGACATGTTCCCCAGATGATTTTAGTGAGCCTGGAAATTCGGAGTCGGGGGATGAAAGCTCAGGGGCTGGCTTGTCTGTTAGAAGTGTGATTTTTTTGGTTTCGATGTTATGTTTCGGGCTTGGCGGGATTCGGGTTGGCGGGAATGGGAACTTCTTAATGGTTCGCGGCATAAGAGGCGCATTGCAGAAAGGGCATGTGTGAAGTGATTTCTAAAGTCTAGAGCAAAAAATCAACCAGTCATTCCGCGAAGGGTGTTAAGTCTTCTGACAGACGAAGTATCCGGCTTGCAGGGTGGACTGGGTGAAGCATCCGAGCGACAACACCAACGACCATAAACTTTCGGAATCCTCCAAAAAACAACGCATGCTGATCGCAGATGAACCAGCAAAACATTGCGTTCAGATACAATGCAGGTATTGAGAGGTCTTGGGTCCCGCATTGTCAAACCCAAGGCGCAACAGCAGAACACACCGCCCGAGCACTCCACTTGCCTTAGCTCTCATCAATCTCATCAATGTTGCTTCTGATGGACCCACTAGCAACCGATGCAGACAGCGGCACCGGCCTCAGTGCGTGCAGTAAGCCTAATCTGGATTGTGGGATGTGGCAGGTGAAGGCAAGTACTCCTGTAGAGCCAGTGCGATTTTGGAAGTCTTTCAATTGCTTGGAATTCGAGACTTCTAAGTGTAGACACTTTGCAGGGAGACCAAGGTCTTGGACACGCAGGCTCTTTGCCTTAACTCCTCACGTTATGTCGCTGTAAATCTTGGTCTTCTTGCTGCAGCCGTCCTTCTTAACTGGGGTTCCTGCTGCCCTCACGTTTTTGGAGCAAGCTACTGCTTGAACCGGCAGTCTTTCTCGTCGTCGCCTTCGCTGTGCTCCTGTTTCGTGGGCTACGACCATTTCTCGTTTCCTCTTTCCGCAGTGCGAAGTACAGATCGACAGTGTGCCTCGAAGTCCATAGTGCTATCAGCCTTCAACTTCACACCGCAAGCATAGCCAGTTCCAGAAAATTGACTCAACCCAATGTGCCATGTTTAAGGTCACCTACACCCTGCTTGCGCAGGCGGACGGCTCAGACGGTTGGCTGAAAGCATGCCTTGAATGTCTAGTTTGCATGGTATGCCTGATCAAAGCTCCAGTTCCTGTCGGCTGGAGTGTGCGAACTTGTGCTCGAAGTTTCTTTCACTCAAAACCTTTGCGGCTCCTGGGCTCATACAGTTGTACAGCACAGATAAGCAAACATGCGCTCTCGACTCCGGTTGCTTGAAATGGTGGACATTGTGGAGTCATGGCCGAACTATCGCAAATCTGGCCAGGACAGGTGGTGCGACAATCTGGGAGGTGCCGTCCGTATCGGCGATGACTTCGACGGCTACAGCCCGCCGCTGGAAGTCTAGGGGTGTTGTGCTTTGCGGGTGGGAGAGCTGGCATTGAGGAAGAAATGGGGGCTTCACTTTTGCGATGGGTATGTTGAGATCGTCCCTGTATCTGATTGATTGTTTTCACGAGCAAGATAACTCTCATCGCATGCTGGGCCCTTTCAGATTGCACATGCCGAAACTAGGTCGCCGAACACGCACCTGCAAACAGCTTGCATAGCAAAACACATACTACGGTAGGGGAATCATGAGCAGAGCTAACGAACCAGTGCAATGAAATGCAACCTGGAAACTCAGACACGACATTAACCAACAACAGGAATGTAGAAAACAACCCAACCAGTTCAGAAAACAGAGCACACGGCAACAGAGCATGCTATGATCTTGCACTTATCTGCATGTTGCAGGAGTCTGCAAGTCGATGGAATCCGCTGGAATTGTTTCTATAGTCCGATATGATAGAGGCAGCGATGCCGATCAATGTCACGACCGGGGGCTCAAAAAACACTGTTCTTGTTGTACGGCCTGTATTCGGGATCCGAACGCAGAGTTCGCAGGCCTATGCGCCGTATTCAGTCTTGCATGTATTTCGATGCTGTTTGCTGAGACCCACGCTGTAGCCTTTGTTGCTTAGTTGCACTCGATGAACTGATGCCGATTAAGATAGCTCGCACAAGCAGTCAGGTTTTCGAAGATTGTGGCAACATTACGACACACGGAGTTTCATATAATGTAACATTACTAGACTATCGGCCACCACTTCCCACTTCCAGGTCTTGTTGGCTGCCAGGCACAATGCAGCAAGGACAAGACGTTGCATTTAATATGATGTTATCCATCCGGCAAGGCTGTATTGCTCCTGCTTCAGGACAGCGAGCGGTTTCCACAAGCTGAAAGCTGGTCCTATTGCACGCAATGTGAGAGAGATGTTAGCATATGTGTGCGGCCACGTCTGCGTTTCGTGGCAGTTAGCTGCCTTCTTTAGTGCCAGTGGCATCACCGAGCCTGTTCTGCAGCATGTAGCGGGAGACTTGCATTCCTGATTTTCCAACCTGACACTTGATTCCCAAACTCTGAAAGCCCCGAAGCCACCAAAAGTTGGACAAGGATGTCCACCGCCCATTACAGTACAGCTCCAGGATCGGCGCTGCGCCTTTGTGTCCTTCAATCAGCGGCTCAGCTTTGGAGGGTTGCAGCGGTTGCGGGGCTCATGCTATGAGAGGTCGGATTGGGGAGATGGGACCACTCCTGTCTGGCAAAGCATGTCCCCTCCCACAGCAGTCCTTCACCCAAGCACCGGCTGTGAAGTCAGAAAGCTTGAACTATACTTCTGAGCTCCCTGCTGGATCTCTTGCAGAGATTCCAGCATTCGGAGGGTCTCCTCGGATTTTGGAGTGAGATGCGAGCTACGGAAGACATGAAGGTTTGGCCAAGGTTTGTCGAGTGGATTGCCTTCGCTACGTTCCGAAGGGAACCCTGAGTTGCATATGTTCCAGGAAGTGCACTGCGCATATCCCCAGAACCGGGTTCTCCCGCGGTAACTTCATGGCACGGGAGCGCTACTTTGTTCCTACTTGTCTTGAAAACATACTGTCCCCGCGCAAACTCTTCTAAGAGGGACGGACGAAACTACAATGAGTGCTCACTGGAACTGCCCCAAGGAATGACGGCCGCTTCGATGCAAAAAGACTACATTCACTGATGTCCTGCACAAGCTCACACATCCATCTGAGACATCTAGCCATCGAAACATCACCAGCAACAACTTCGCATGCAGGAGTCGAGAGAGTCATGCAGGCTTTAGGACTTTAGGCTTTGGAGTCCGTGTGGCCACGATATGGAGAACGACGAGGGCGGGCACCCTTCCTGCTTATTGACAGCCCATCATGTAGAAGGTCATGGCCGCGTTTAGAAAACATGGGTCAAGATCCACACGTCTTTGCGGTGTTGTTTGACCAGGGCGACTGGGGTTGGGATCCCCTGAGACACTAGGGCCTAGTCACTAGGGTTCACGGCCTGTCGGGGTTCTGGTCAACTCTGATTCTTCACAAGCTCGTGCCTTGTGGTTAGGATTTACAGAGTCGGCATGGATGGGGAATTGTTGCCTGAGGCTGGTGCTCAAAGTATGCGGTCTGCGGGGAGCCCACAACTGCTCCCAACGAGTTTCCGCAGGACGTGTCTGCATGCCCCTTGACGAGTGAAGCAACTTGTAGTGCAGTAGTAGTAGTAGTAGTAGTAGTAGTAGTAGTAGTAGTAGTAGTAGTAGTAGTAGTAGTAGTAGTAGTAGAGGAGAGCACAGTGACGAGGCAGTCGATAGCGTGAACTTCGGGGAGGAAGTGCAAGCGCTCGGCAACCCGCATTGGATCCACCGTGTTGATTCCCTGGAAGCGCCGCTACATGCGATGACGAGCCCCAAGCCAGCACTGCACGAATTCTTTGGAGTCCGTCCAAGCGCTTGGGCTTTACCGTACCTTCCGAGGGGCACCCCAGGCCCTAAACCCCTAAACCCTGAACCCCTACAGAGCGAACCCAGAAGAGGATCCGCGAGGATGGCAAACCTTCGCGCGGGACTTTGCAGAGGCACCGCCTCGCGTTTTGGGAGAGACATTGTTTGAATGTCCCACCCTGTATGAATACGAATTGGTGCAGCGTCCGGGATAGGACTCCGTAGAGCGCACGAATGCATTCGGGCGGACCTGCACATGAGGTGGACTCATAGGTTGCTCTCGGCGACTGTTCATCTGAGTCCTTCCTCGATCTGACTAATTTGTTTCTGCTACCTTCGTAAGTTAAAAATCCAAAGACGAAGTCGTGTGTCACAAGCCGGCCTGTCTGGATCAAGTTGAGGTGATGCGCAACTGGACACTTTGATAGTGTGCATCTCATTGCCAACAGCACGTGCGGGTATACGCGGGCAAGGGGGGAGTTGAACATAATTTCAGAATTGATTATATGGCAATGCATCCAGCTATCATGGCATTCATGGCTCGTGCTTATCTTGGCTGCCGGTTTAGGCGAGATGTTGAGTTGGACAAGGAGATGTTGGATGTTTAGACTTGTCGCATGGGCAGCATCCGGTGGATGCTGCTGGCCGTGATCATCTGGCCGACTGCGCTGAGTGCCAAAGCGTTTGAGCTTAACCAGCTAGCCTTCCAGCCTGCTGACTTTATGGCGTGTCAGAGAATGAGGATGGCTCTGTTGAAGACAAATCATGCAAGTGAGTCTCGTTCAGAGTCCTTGCTGCTGCCGGTCCCCAAAGTCATTGATCACACACACCTGTCAGCAACGAAGCAGCATGCAGTGGCCGTGGCAAGCTCACTGCCGAGGATGGAGAAACGGACATCGTTCTCAATTTCCGACGCTTGGTACCGAGTGTTGTACACGTACGTGTGCAGCACATGTTGCAGTAGCTTATTTTGCACGCATATGTTTTCAATATATACATGTTTGTCGCATCTGACAGCGGCAAGTGCACTTGTGCAAGAGTAATGACAGGCATGCTTGCATGCTGTGAATGCATTGGCACACGCATAGGCATGTCTGTGTAGACAGACGCACTGACGTATTTGCTGCTGTGTGTTGTGCATGCGTACATGTTTGTTCAGGCTTGTTCGCACACATGCGAATGCTGAGTGCCCGCATGCGTAAATCACGGCTGAAACTGGATATCAAGAGAAAGTTATGCCAGACTTGCGATGCAATATAGCTCAAGCAACAGGCCAGATGGCACAATGACAGAACATAAACTACAAGTCTGCGCGATACCGCAAAGCTCAGTAGACAGTTGTGATGTCGGCAGCATACTGGTCGCAAGCTTAAGGCTTAAGCGCTGGATGCCATAGGTCGTTCGTTTCGTGCAGCTGCCATCCGAGGAGAAGGCAGGAAGCTCTTCGGGGGGTGGCACTCCGTGCGGCCCACAGAAGTTTGCAGCTTTGGGTGGGGGGTGCGAGTACAGAAGTCGATTGTGCGGTGCATCTCGGTGAGCACGACTGTTTTGGTGGCCTACCAGTAGCAGTCGCTAGGAGTGTTCAGTGTGCCTTAGGTGGCCTTCCCTTTCTCCAGCCACACCTTCAGGGTGCGAGACATCCTGTTGTACAACTATCGAACGAACTCCACCAAGCAAGCCCAGATTCCTCCAGGCAGGACTCTCTGAGCAGAACTGAGCCTTTATCAAGTTTCGGCACGTTGCTGAGATGCCCGCTGGTGCGTTGCCGCTTCGGCACCCGCCAAGCTGTTGGCCCAACTGCTCGGGAAGCCTTCCGGGCCTGCACCCCTCTTTCGATCGCTGCTGGGCTCTTCAGTAAGTTCGGGGTTCAATGAAGGGCCGGAGGAGCCAGCTAGCTTAAGGTGCCGCAGACAATGAGCATTCTCACTGATACAGCGACAGCGAGGGATCCATTTTTGCAATGGCTCGAAATGTCGGGGTTCACTTCGGCTCGTCTTTCAGCATTGCGGAGGCGAAGGATGGCCTTTTTGGTGTTTTGGACAGGCTCCTCGACTTCCTAGATGTGGAGAAAGGGAGTAGTTGCTGCACGCAGCACTGCTGCACTGAACCGATCTGGTGCGTCGCATGCTGTGCTGCCTGCGAGTCGAGGTCAGCAGCGCTTGTGGGAGCGAGGGATGATGCGGCCTCCTCGTCTGCAGGAAAGGGCGATAGCCGTAGCAGAGAAAGAAGAAGCAGGTTCTTGCTGACTTTCTTGCTCTCGGGCATCCAACTTGCAATGAGCAGATTGGAGCTGTTTGTAGTTGCTGCTTTATGTTTCGCAATGGCCAGCATATACCAATGCTGCAAACCTGCACCCCGACTCGGTAAGTTTAAAATGCTCTTATGTGTAGACACATTCACCATTTGGGCGGACATGCTTCAGCGATTGCAATCTTGTCTTCGTGTTCTCACTGGGCATACCTCCTCTAGGGACTCGTCACCGGTTACTGCCTTGCCTGTGCCCCGCTGTTAGCAGGTAGTATACATCCTGGATGTAATGCCGTCGGCAGTCTTTTGGTAACAAGAAGTCCCGCAAGTCTAGTCCGGTGACCATCAAGACAAAAAAATCAGCATCGTCGGTATAGTTGCAGACACCGGAAGCCCGAGAGAGACCTCAAGCTACCAGTTTCGTTGGTCGTCGACAGAGCTCGGGCCTGGACTTTCGCGACCTGCGCGGTCCTTTCGGCACCTATGCCCTGGACGTCGAGTTTGCTAGCCTCTTGGCAACTCCGAAATCTAGGGATTTCGAACTAAACGGCTCATGCCCCGTCGGGTGTTGTGATTGTAGGCCGGGTGTTCAGCAGGGCTCCAAGAAGTGAGCCACTAAACGCGCCTTGAAACATCCCAACAAAGTTCGTCATCGTGCAGGCCCACATCATCCACACCCAGCACACCTCGGATAGGGATCGTTCGAGAATTTTAGGCGTAGGGCCTCGAAGCCCAGTCTATGCACTTGGTTTTTTCCACAGTGATGAACTTGACAAGGCTCACTCCGAAAAATAGCGCATATGAAGTGAAGCTTTCCCTGGCAAAGTTTCAGGAGTCTTCATGCCAACGGAACCTGCGACCTCTGAGGTTTGGAGGAAAGAGAGAGGCACGACCGGATGGTGGCATGTCTCGGGGCTCTAGAGGCTTCGGGCTTCAGGTTTAGGGTTCCGGGTTTCGGGTTTGAGGTTGGTGAAAGCCAGACAAATCTAGAGTGTCTGGAGATGAACTGGACTTTGAAGGTTTGGGTGTTGCTGCTCGTACCATCTGTTCCTGTGCATTGTGCATGTCTGTTCAAGACCGTGGCCGGACTTGTTGAAAGAGGGTCATTCAAGAGTCGCACAGTTCTGGAAACAGTGTCCCTCTTTCATGTGTCATCGAGTGTTCAGAGATTGATGCCCTTGTCGAAATATGTGTACGGAATCAAGGGTTGAACACGTGGTAAATGTTCTCGCTGTGCTCGCGGCCCTCCTCCGCTCATTGGGTTCATGGACTCTTCGTTAATGTTGATCGTTGGCGAGAAGGACTCGGTGAGGTGAACCGTCCTTTTTTCATGCATGCTTGATATGCATCGAGTAAAAGCGGGTTCGTAGAAGTTGGTGTCCACATGTAACGGATTTCTTCAGTGGCCTTCCGATCCCGATATGAGCCTGAGCTTGGGGTTGGAGTGGCAGACATGACTACCGAGCCCTGCTTCGAAAGAAGACTGTGCTAAACTGCACATCCGAGCTACACCTCGTGATAAGTACAACAAAGGCTTGTTCCTACCGTGCGAGTCTGCAGGCAGGAGGAAGACATGTTGGGCATCGAGGGTGCGACCACGGATGCTCGGCCAAGCTGCAAGATGTCCAGCTACAAGAGAGACCCTTTTATAGAATTGTAGTTAGCAGCACTGTCAAGCAAAGCCGAAGCATTACCCTCCATTTTCCCCGGAATGCTCGCAGCGCAGGCATAAAGCACGGTTCATGTTGAAAGCCGTCTGACCACGAAGATTCGCAAGACATTGTGTTTTCGAAATCCCCGAACCTCCACAACTGCAGCCTTTCCCCGTGTGCATGCTGCAGGTTGACGTTGGCGCCAACCTTGGTTTTCGATCCATCTATTTGGCGGCAAGAATGTCGTCAGCCTTAATTGGGGATTTGCTGGCAAGTGGAAGTTTAGCGGGGATTTTGTCACTAGTTCCGGCTACAGCCCGCAACTGCCGTCGGCCCACCCAACCTGAGGCCTGAAGGGCCAGTCCAGCGTTTTGGTGCACTTCTATTGCGGCAGTAGTTGTGCAACAAGGCAGCGCCCAGTGCTGGCAATTGAAGCGAACCCCCTGATCTACCGGCTGCTGCTTTGGAACATCCGCGCCAATAATGTGACGGAGCCTCGGCTTGGGTGCCGTGGCCGGGGATGAGGATCACGGTGTGGCGACAAAGTCATCTGAGAGAGTTTACGCAGCCTTGACCTGTGAGCCTGGGAGCTCAAGCTCCTCGTCATTTCTACTCCCGCGAAACCACCGCAGGAGAAATAATCACAATCCCAAAGAACGAAGACAGACATGACGAGATGCGTCATGTCATCTATGCCAAGACGGAAGGGTTGTTTTCCCGATGTTGCCAGAGCACTGTCCTGACCGTGATGGCTTGCACAAGACAATGTGAATCCGTCGTCATCCTGTCCTTTCCTTTCCATCCTCTGTGCTGGTGGCATGTTCTATGCACCAGTATCCGGACTCACACATCACGTCTGTTTGCTCGCATTACCCGGGTTCAATCGCACCAAGGATCGTGTTTGGCCGGTCAATGCAGCTTTGTCCGGCGACGGGTCTGGTCGCTGCGACCCTTCAGCGGGGCTGGTGGCGGACTGTGTTACTTTGCGGGTCGATGCGCCTTGGAACCCGTACTACCTTTTTCATTCTTAGCCTCCCGGAGCACGAATCCGACGGTTTGCGACGGCCAGGCCGGCTGTGTTTACACGTTGCGTAGGAACTTGGAGTCGCAACCTCGTCGATGGGTTCTCAAGCTTTGAAGCCGAGGCAGACATGGCCAAAAGCCACCGCTCTGGTTTCGCTGGGGGCAGCTGTGGAAAGGGCGTGGCATGCTTCCGGGTGCCGGCTTGGTCCCTGGGGAAGCTCCTGGAGCGGCGGCTTTGGGCTCAGGGCTACGTAGGAGGGCGGACTCGGCTTGTGAAAAGCGTCAGGGTTTGTTGAACGTGGCCGAGTTCCTGCCTTGGCCTTGGCCGCGGAGTTTGTTTCAGCTTCAAGGGCTCTGGCGCAGTCGTGACTGTCGAGTTAAATCGCTTGGTCTGTGTTGTACCGATGCTTCATGTCCAAATCTTTTTCAAGAACACAGAATGCGCTCACCCGCTGCAGGAGGCCCTGGGGATCCAAGAGGTGGATCATCTGAAGCTGAATTGCGAAGGTTGCGAGTACCGCGTCTTTAGTGACCCGGCAGTGCAGCACCTGACGTGGCTCGGAGCGGCAGCTAGCTTTCGGCTTCAGGCAAGCAAGGGGGCATTCGGTTGCAGGTTCGGGCTGTTATTCGGAGAAATCGCAGGTCAGGTGGCCGTTCTCGCAATTGGGGATAACGACACGCATTGTAGGGTTGTCCGACTCTTGGCGGCCAGCAAGTGTATTGACTTGCGCTTGTTCAAGTTTGCACACCTCCGTTTAAATAGTGCAGTCCAGTTACGCTCACAAGCATATCTTCAATCCTCGGCTTTTGGTCCCAACTTGAACCTAAACTGCAGCCGAAAAAAGGTCCAGTGGCCGCTTGCGCATCAGCGGTGAGATTCACCACCCGGACAGATTTCCGGGAATCTCCAGTCCCTAGGCTGCAACTGGTTCCTGAGTGCCCGGCTCTGATCACGTTTGACCATGTGTTTCGTAGTTGGACACTTGTGGCCGTGTGGGTCGAAAGATTCAGGCACTGCAGGCTACCGAAATACACAACATGTTGCCGCATGCGGGAAAGTCTTTGCAACGCCTTGCCAGTTTTGCAGAGGATGTTGTGGCTTTGGAGTTCAGGTTGCGATCGACAACTGACGAAATGCCTGCTCAACACCTGAGATATTGTCCCAGAGCAAGCTAATCATGGACGACTGCTGGGCGGGCAAACAGGCTTTGAGTTGGTGACCGCTTTTATACGTTCTGGATAGTCTGTACAAATAGTAGCAAGTAATTCGTAGTTCAGTATCGATCAGCAGCAGTAGTTTGTGACAGCGGCTTTTCCGAAAAACGTCCCAGTGCTTTGGGCTCTCAGAAAGCCAGACGATGACACTCTCTTTCTCTCCCTGTCTGTCTGTCTCTCTCTCTCTCTCTCTCCCTCTGTCTTCGTTGCGGCCACTGAATACAGCACAGGTCCACAAAGAGCAACGTGGGGCTGCGAGAGACTGTTGCACTCCTAAGGCGACCCCAAGCTGCAAACACCTGAGGTGCAGGCGAAACACCTCGCACTCTGGACCAACTCCCTCGTATGGCCAAACTCGAACACCCAGGCCCTCCATCGCCAGACTTTTGGTTCCAAATCCTGTCCTTGCCCGTCCCTCCGAGGCGAGATGGCAGCAGCTACCATGGACGTCATGTGCAAGGACTCTGCAGCTAGAATCTCAATGTCCGTGTTCAAAGTTGTTTTATCTTCGCAGTGGCTTTTGACTGCAGTGCCAAAGACGACGGGTCGATGTCCAAACCAGCTGCAGAATCTGCGCCAGCAGTTGGCTTTCAAGAGGAGTGTCCATTGTCTCTGACTTCAGCCTGTCTACGGAGTTACACGACCCATGCCCTCTGCACGATTGCCAAGACTTCATGTATGTGGCCTCGCATAGTCACTATTATTTGTGTGCATCAACGTATACACCTAGGTCATTGTTGGCATAGTCATTATGTACATATGAACTTCTCTGAATCCAGTCTAGCCGAATCTCATGTACCGATTTGCAAATGTAAAGCCGTGTGACCTAATGAACCTAATGTAGTGCAATGTCCTGTCTAATGTAATGTCCCGGTAACACAAGCGCAGTTCGTAACGTAATGACATCCTGTGTAATGTACTGTAAATGCGCTTCTCGTGATAATCGGCATATTCCCACTCGTGAATTCGAAGGCAAGGCATTGCAATGAAATCTCTTGTGATGAACTGTAATTTAATGTAACACTACCTTGAGCTATAGTACTACAGTAGTATACGTGTGTACATGCAAGTTTTTATACCTGCACAAAAACGTACATGTGTGCGTGCGGGTTTTTATTTCAACTCCACTCTGGACTTGAGTGTTTTGCAGCAATGCATTGACAGCCTGCCAGCATCTGTGCAGGAGAGGCTCGTTGGCAGCCGTGAGGGTGTGTGCGACGTGGAGAAAAGGATCAGTTCTTTTGCGCGGAATCACCACCAAGCAGCTCGTTTTTTTCCAGCTAGTAGCAGGGACCCCAAGTGAGCCTTCGGAGCTGTAGGGTACTCTTTGGGTTGTCGGCTCGGCTTTTCGAGGTACGAGGCTTAAACTTGCTTCAGGTATTGGGTCTCAGATCGGGGTGTGAAGCGATTAAGCTTCGAGACCCGAAGGGTTGAACTCAGAGGGAAGGGTGAAAGTATCGGGTAGGAAGGAGAAGAGCCTGGGCAATGACCAGATACGGGAAAAGGGGAGCTGTAGCTGGCACAATAGTCATTAGCTCCATCCCCAGAGCACCTTTGGTGTGATCAAACTTTGCTGTGCGTGCCATGGCATATATCACATGAGCTGTGCTTGTCGCGCTAGGGTTCTCGCAACTCGTCCTGGTTGGCATTGACGGAGCATTGAGTCAGCGAAGTCCCTCCTCATGTAAGGATCTCCTGAGACTGCGCCCTCACCGACGCCCACATACAATCAAAGTGTGGAAGCTCCCAAGCCACAAGCCCAACCCTTGTGTCGGCCTCAGCCCTGGCACCTCATGGGCACGCATTCGTGGATCCCGAACCTTCAATGAAGATAAAACGAATTTCAGCCGTGGGCTCCGGCTATGGGCAGGTTGCCCCACAGTTCTATGGGGACTGCGCGCAGGCGGATTTCCAGGCCTCTGCCCCAGACGTTCCGGACTCTTTCCTGCTTCTCGCTTGCTCGGAAGATACATCGGTTGTGCAGGCTTGACAGCTTCTTGCCTCAACCCGAGCTTTCCACAAGCTTTGCTGTCCAAAGACGTTGGCATGTTTGTTTGTGCATGCCGGGGACGTGCCGAGATGGCAGGGCAATCTCACCACGAATCTCGAGAGCCCCCTAAAACATGAATCCCACGAACCAAGAATGGAACCCAAGACAAGCTCTGCACCGCATCTCGACTCACTCCCCAGGCTCCTCAACCCGTCCACAACCCAAATCAGAGGAGCACCGGAAAAATCCCCAACTCCCGAGCTGGGGCAGGCCTTCAAAACCCGAGCGGCCGCATGGTACGACAAGCGGCTCGCGAGTCTTCAGCTCTTCCATGACTGCTTTGTTCTTTGCGTTTTGTTGGTCGGGCATTGGTATCATGCAGGCCGTGTGGCTTTTTCTTGGTTCAGGAGTAGAGGTTGCGTTCCTGTAAAGCTTCGAGAGCTTAGAGTGCTGTTGATTCGCAGCTGACAGACCTCTAAGCCCGCGGGAAAGAGAGAGAGGGAGAGAGAGAGAGAGAGAGAGGGAAGTGCGTTGCCGTTGTCTGGAATACCCCAAGGCTGACCACTTAATAAGCAGAAGGGTGGTCGGGCGGGCCAAGTGCCTCCGGGTCGCTCGCGATTTTTACGCCCGGCAGAAAAAAGAGAGAGAGCGAGAGAGTGAGCGTCAAGGGGACTGCCCCTGGCTCATGCCCCTGAGCAAAGCAAAGTGAGAGCGAGAGTAGATGTTGTTCAGCATGCTCGGGTTCATACCCACGGAAGAAAGCAACACAAAGCTTTTAGGCGTCCGATTACGTCCGAGTCGTGCTACTAAATCCAAGCATATATCATCCCTGAGCCCTGAGCATCTGGTTAATGCGTCAGGCGTCCCAAACACTAGAGCACTATATAGGCTCTAGGGCCACTAGGGAGCCGGCAGGAGCCTCAAGCAAACACATGTCCTGTTCGTGGGCTTCGGGCCAGCAATGCACCAATGGACTTGATCCTGAACTTGGCAGGACATGACGCTCCTCATCAACAACTTTGAGACTGCATACATGAACTGTCCTGCCGCGGCCGTACTTGCAGCGACGAAGTTGCAAGTGAGTGGCATCGGGTGTTTCGGGTACCCACCCAGCTGTATAAAGCGATGTAGAGCTCGGTGGGTGAACATCTGCATGGGCTTGGTGTGAAGAGCTGCATGCGGGCTGAACCGAATCTTTGTGCATTTTGCGAACGCTCGCTGTACTGTTGACATGCTGAAGCAGGCAGAGGCACTCAGTCAATCGCTGTTCAAAGCCTAGCAACACTAGCAGTGAATGCATGCAGCGAAATCTCCTGCAATCAACACCACCTGCAGAAGCAATGACCGAGACAAGGCCAACTTTAGCAGCAACAACGACGACGACAACAAGAAGCCTGGCCTAACAATGAAGCCGTCAACCAAACAGAGATGCCGAGCAGCACACCTGCGATTTACGGGGAGGCTCCATTCGCAACCTCGCCTTCAGCTGCACGCGAGGTTCTGCTCAAACTGGAATCTGCCTACTTCGAAGAAGCGGAGAAGTGGGACGCACTGCTGGAGTTTCTTGGCTTTGCGCGAACAGTTCGGAGCAGGAAAGTCTGTCCATGGCTTGATCTCAAAGACACACGAACACCGAGACAAGTTCCAGCTTCGAGCGTTGCTCCCAGGATTTACATCAGCACGTTGAACCGGGCTTTGGCGGAAGGACCCGGTGTTAGCCGAAACTCCGACCATAGATCCATATAGATCCTGTCAGAGCGGCAACGCAAGTAGACGAACTTAGAGACACATGCATCCGAACTTCTGCACGCAGCGAACATCAGAATGTCTGTAGAGTTTGCTGACAGACGTGCCTTCTGAAGCTTCCGAGTTGCACAGTCATTGCGCAGGCGGCTGATCCCAGTAATGTTTCTTTGTTTCAAGCAGTCAGTTGGAGGCATCTGGAAGCAGATCTGTGAAACAGACGGTCGAGAGCAAATGATTGTACTCGTCTCTCTATACCTGCAGCATTTTGCTCACAAGCTTTCCGGGCTGTTTCGCGCGAAAAACCAGCACTTGGAAGCGCTCCGAGCTCTTGAGGCACTGATCTGTGTGTGTGTGTGTGTGTGTGTGTGTGTGCGTGCTAATTCCTTGTTTCAATTACGTTTCTGTGCGATTTCGGCAATCATGGCGATAACAGGCCATGTCCCGCTCCTTCGTGGTCCTTGCAGTGGCATTGGCTACCAGCCACCTTGCTTGCAATCGTGAACCTCTAAAGACTCTAATGCCTGATCTACAAGTGGGTTTATCTTACATCAGGCGGTGAGAACATACATCACCCCAAGTAGATGCTGCATGACAGCAAGTTTACATCAATGGCAGAAGTGTGCACCACGGACTCGGAATCCCGAAGGAGATGCTGCGTTTGAAGCAGCCGTAAATAATCCGCAGAAACCTCCCACATTTGGCCGACGCCACGGTGTTGAGCAGAATCTGTATGGTTTTGTGCTACGGCTACAGACCGGAATCCCCAAGGAGACGCTGCGTTTGAAGCAGCCGTGAGGAAAATGCAGAAACTCCCATATGATGTGGTCGACGCCACGGTAGTGAGCAGAATCTGCATGGATTTATCATGTGCTTGAGCTACCGTAATGAATCGGAATCCCCAAGCGTTTAGGAGAAAAGAACTCCGCGGACACGGCGAGTCGCGGACACTGGCACAGACAGATCCATTCAATTTGATGCTAGGATACAGGCAGACTGGCTCGAATCCTGGCCTCTGCAAGGAGACGCTGTGCGATGCATAACAAAAGCATGCGATGCATCATAAATCTACTCGGTACGTGCTAAGATAGTTTGACCTGAACCGGCATCACCCCACATGTTCTACTGGACGAACTTGTGAAACCAGGAATCTGGGCATGACAAAGGATAGACCAGAATAGGATACTGAGGGAGATTCAAAAACCACAAAAGAACATCGTGCACTTACCTGCTGCACGGGTTTCCGCGTGGTCGTGCTGGAGCTCCAGCATGTGGACGACGAACAGTGGGAGCCGGACAATCGGACAGCGCCAACCTGCAAAGGCTTTCTCCTGCCTTTGAACTTCGTCTTGCCGGTGGTACCTCGCTTCGCGCCGTCGCTGTCCCACGTGGCTTTGCAAGAGAAGGCACGCTTCAGGGCTCAGACCTGCAAGCGTGAGGTGGGCTACATCTGATGACTTACATGCGCTAGTGGACTGCAGATGGCCAACATACAAGTGCTTGTGACAGTGGTGGCTGTTGTAATCCCGATGCTATAGCTGTAGTTTGCATTAAGTTGTCGTTGTTGTCGTCGTCGTTGTTGTCGTGTGTGTCTGTACTGTGCCTTAGGCTCAGGGCCTGGAGACCACCAAAATAAGAAACGTAGCCCCCTTACATTTCTTATGTGGGCCTCTGCCTTGCGTGAAATAGGGCCTGGAAGCCACCAAAATCAGAAACGTAGCGCCCTACACTTCTCGTATGGGCCTTTGCTTTGTGCCCCAAGCTTAGGGCCTGGCAACTACCGAAACAAGAAACGTAGCCCCTTAAATTTCTTATTTGAGCCACTGCCTTGTGCACTATGCTGAGGGCCTGGAAACGACCAAACTAAGACACGTAGCAGGAGGCAAAAAAAGACACGTAGCCCCCGCTGCCGCATGCCCTAGGGCTAGGACCCGGAAACAACCCGAAGTAAAACATGTAGCCCCCTCCATTTCTTATTGCTTTCATCTATTGAGAACACCCGAATCGTTAAACTAACCACCCACCCAAGTAAGAAAAGGCCGGTACCCTTCATTTCTTAGCTTTAAGGCTGTTTGGTGCTATCCGGCTGACGTAGCCCTGACGATTCTTCTCCAAACATTTCTTGTACAGTGACTGCACTGTATCATTGGTAGTAGTCACAGCGGCAGTCGCAGTCGCGCCTGTTGTCGTCGTCGTTGTCGTGGCAGTAGTAGTAGTAGTAGTAGTAGTAGTAGTAGTAGTAGTAGTAGTAGTAGTACTAGTAGTAGTACTAGTACTAGTACTAGTACTAGTACTAGTACTAGTACTAGTAGTGAGTGAGTGAGTTAGTTTGTTAGATAGGTAAGTAGCTGTAGTAGCGGTAGTACTACTACTAGTACTAGTACTAGTACTAGTAGTGGTAGTAGTAGCATAGCAGTAGCAGTAGCAGTAGTAGTAGTAGTAGTAGTAGTAGTAGTAGTAGTAGTAGTAGTAGTAGTCGTAGTAGTAGTAGTAGTAGCAGCAGCAGCAGCAGCAGTAGTAGTAGGAGTAGGAGCAGCAGCAGCAGGGGTAGAAGTAGTAGCAGTAGCAGCAGTAGTAGTGGCAGTGGCGATGGTGATAGCAAAAGTTGTTTGTAACAATATAGGTGATGGTATGGTACTGCTGGACGCCAATAGAGCCGGAATCGCACTGGTAATCGCAAGGGAAATATTCATAATCATAGTGATAATGGTATGGCCCCGAGCATGTGAAGCAAAAGCCGAGCCGCTGCAGGCGAACGAAAAACAAGGACCCCAGGACCGACGCTGGTGACTCGAAGTCCAACCGACGTAGGGTGTTTTGTTGAGTACCGAGAGGTGCTCGCAGTAGTAATGATGCGTTGGAGGTTTAGCACGTGTTTTTCTGCCTCGGTACACGCACCACAACATGTTGATCACAGTCGGAGTACAACTGTCCAAGAACATCACCCGAACTCCGACCAGAGATCGGTATCCTTCGAAGCTGGACGACGTTGGGCCCTCGCACTTGATGCCCGGAATCCAGGAAGCACGAAATCCATGATGCAACTAACAAAGAGTGTGCTGCTTAAGCCACATCGTGTGTTTTACACATTGAGCCGGAAGGAACTCGTCGCCCCTGTGCCTGCGACATTGATTGCTATGCTGGCCGGGCTCATGATTGGACTCTTTGCCATGCCGAAGGACCGGATGGCAACCGCAGAAGGAGAGCAGCAAATAGATGGCAACAACTGCAACAGGAAGTTCTCATCTTCCCAATAGAGATTCGGCATTTCTCCGCCTTGGTTGAAGGTGCGATTTCCAGCAATTTGACAAGTGTATGCTTTAGGCCTGCGTGCAAATCATCAGCGACGCCCGCCTGCGCAGGACGTAGATGCAGTTCCACACCCCCGTCCGGACTTCCAGGCACTGAGCCTTGGGTTTTTTGAGCTTTTAAGTTCGATGTGCTGCTTGTTTTCCAGATTTCGGGCCCGTGTCTACCCAACCCTTGGCTTCCGAACTCTGAGCTGCAGCTACAAGCCCAGTACAGCACAGAAGCAATCCCAGAATGGCGGTATTCAATTTTAGTAAGCAGCTTGAAGCCGCTTCCAAAACCTGAGTGCTGGCACTTCGCCGGCCGGATGCTGTTCAATTTCTCCGAGTTCACTGTGTGAAAAAGCCAAAGCGTGGTGCCATCGATTTGCCTAGCCATGCCGGAGAAGCCTTCACAGTTAAACGACAGTGAAGCCTGAAGTGGAGACGAGCTGCTACGTGTAATCAGAGAGCTGAACCGTCGGCAGTTGGAGCGGCCGGGCTACATGCAGGGCATTGATGCTGCGAACGCTGCCTGGAGGCTTGCTTGGGGAAATCCGGGTGATCCGGGGCACGGCCGTCAGATTTGCTTTCAAACCTCTGTCAGCTCAACCGCAATGTTTCACTCAGGTTGCTTTGTTTGCATGGTGTGGGTTTTTCTGATAGCAAGCTTAGGCTTGACCTCTACAACGTATGGCTTCAGACTGTCTCCCCCTGTCCCCCTAAATATCCGACCGGCAGACGCTTGCCCGGCCTGTGTTTGAGCCTTGATGCGCTGTTTGCTTGTATCCCGGGTCTCATTGCGTCGCCAGAGTCGAGACCTTGACAGCCCTAACACGACTCAGCTAGGTGAATTGCTCTGGCTGCAGCATTCCCTGATGAGCGTTGCTCTTGTGCCAGGCCCGGTGAGATCGACTTTGTCACACGATCCCGTTTGGAAGCGGCACAGTTCCCAAAGGCCCTCAAGGACGCTGAAACCCTGCTTTGGACTTGGAAGATGTTCGGGAGCACGTGGGAGCACCGAAATCGCACACTGTGTAGTGACATTGCTTTTCGTCAGGCCAAGGAGAGTATCCGGAGAAGCCCCCCCAAGAAGCAAGATCTACGACATCATAGCAGCGCCAAACCCTGTAACCCCCCCTAAACTTCATAGACTCCGATGAGTTGAGAACCTGTGAGGAGCTCGAACATGAGCAGGAGATCTTGGCCAAGGCTCCCACCAAGGCGGAGCGTCTGGCAAAGGCCTCTCGGCTGCAGTACTAGAGTTATAGAAGCCCAAATAACAATTGCCGATATTATTCCTTGGGGTTCCTTACTATAAATCTACGTACTATAAAGGAGCCCAGTTCCAATTATTATAAGGCCCCTATTGACCGGTGCGTGTTGAGGGTGGACGTGAACCTGCGGACTGGAGTTGTGATTGGACACGGGTTTGCATGTGGGGAAGGTCGGATCGCGGAATACAAACGAAAGGAACTTGCTCGCTACTTGACTCCGAGTTGTCGAGTTGTTTTGGCGGCAGCACGTAGGCATCTTGAGGCCCATGCAAACTTCACCGCGAAGCTTTTCTCCTTGCTGCCTGAAGCGACCCAGACTTCCGAAAAGCTCAATATGACACTTCGGAGCTGTCCCTAAGCCGAGGATGCTCTCACGGTAGGCCTTATGTCCCTTCTGTAGAACCCGACCGGGTAGCAGACTTTGGGTGGTCTTGCGCAGGGGTTCATGGGAAGGGGTGGAGGATGCAGGTCTCGTAGCTGTTGAGGTCGAGCAGCAGGTGGCCGAGTACAGCGCCCTGGCAAGGCATTGCAAGTCTTAGTCTGGGCCTGTCGCTTTTTGTGGACTTCTGGACAGAATGTTCGGACTAGGCACTATGTTATATTGGAGAATCTAGACTGTCCGTCGCTCGTGATGTAGGTCGTGGAACTTGGACAGTGTCTCAGGTAAGACTGTCGGCACTGGCCGCGTGGCCAAGGGCATGTGAACAGGCCGATGTCCTGTGAGAGGCTTTGCGGTTGACCTCGATATGCAAAGTTCATGCCGCTGCTACCCCTACTAGCTTGCACTGCACGGGGAGCCTGTCCTATATGTGAGTATCCGACTGCTGCGGCCAACCAGAACAATCTGATCCTGAACAATTTTAGTTCATAAATCAAGCTGGCCAGCTTGCGCACTACTACTGTGCAAGTCTCAATTTCGGCATGTAGAAAGATGCTATGTGACTGAGTGGGACCCAGCTGTTCCGAGCCATGTACAGATCGCTTGCTACCCTCATACCTCCTCGATCTTGATCACTGGTTCTTGCACATCGGGGAAGCCCGCGATGACTTACAGCCGCCGGCCGACCGGCATGCCGTTTCAGCCACGAGCTGTTTGGCGCGTTGCCGTGCCGGCTTTCATACCTCCCGTTTTGACGTAGACGGACGATGGGAAACGAGGAAAGCGGGTAGGGTAGGGACACTAGAGATTGAGGTTATTGCCAAGGGTTTACAGAATGGCTGATGGCTGTAACATAGGATGTCACAAGCGTAGACTGACCTGCGTCATTTTGCGCATCAACTCGGCCACTTTAGTTGACATTCATGCCTCCTTAATTGCTGATCGCAAAGAACCAACAGCTCATCGGCAATGCCCAGCTTGTTCAAAGACGGGCCTGGCCCACTCATGCACTGCGGAGGTCCGCGACTTTCAAGTCATCCAAGGCCCCAAACCAAAAGTTAAAGGGTAGTACTTGCCGGGCAGGAGATTTACACTCAGCGTTGTCACTGCATAACTCAGAGTCTCATCGTCGTGGTCACAGGCGCACAAGAAATCCTAGGCTTGCTTGAGCCCGCCACAGTCAGCCTTTCTGCCACCACTTATCATCGCTTTTGACCTCCGTGGTGCAGTTTCGCTGACGACTGAAGTCATTCGATTGTTCGAGGTGGATGTTCCGCTTGCTCGCTGGCAGGTCAGAGTGGTTATTCTTCTTCTTCGCACTCGCTTCCGACGTAAGGAGTAGAGATGCTGCGCAAGATTTCGTCGCTTCCACGCCTTGTGGTTCCAACTAATTTCCAGATGAGCTGTGTTTGGATCCTAAGTGACTCGCTAGACTAACCCATCAAAGCGGCAGCCGTCGGTCCTTTGCATTGAAGTAATTAATCGGGTACCGTATGTTTTTTGTCAATTTTTCTGGTTTTTTTCTGTCTATTTTTCTGGTTTTCGGTTGAACGCAAACGAAAGAAAGAAGGAGAGAAACGGAAGCCAGAAAGAAAGAAAGGAGCTAAGAAACAAACAAAGAAAGCAAGAAAGGAAGACAGCAGGAAGAGGAGAAAGAAAGAAAGGACGAAGGACAGAAAGACAGGAAGGAAGGAAAGAAGGACGACAGAAAGAAAGAAAGAACGAAGACGGGAACAAAGGAAGAAGGCAAGAAAGCAACACACCAGAATGGGGAGAAAGAAAGAAAGGAAGGAAGGACAGAAGGACAGACAGAAGCAAGGAAATAAGAACGCAGCAAAGACAGAGAGACAGAACAGAAGAAATGAATATCGAAAGACAGAAAGCCAGCAAGGACGACCAGAAGGAGTGTTAGAAAGAACGGAGCAAAGAAAGAACCCAAGAACGAAAGCAGGATAATTAGACAGCAAGAAGCAAAGACCACAGACCCCGCTGTTTTGAGCTGTGTGCAAGCTTGCTTGACAGCATAGACGTCGTTCTGGAAACCCAGCCTGCATAAAATGTAAGTCTTCTTGAAACAATGCCATTCACCATGCAAAGAGTCTCTTTGCAAATGGAAAGCCTGCCCCGGGCGTGCGAGAGTGCCGAGCTTGCTTGACAGCATATATGCGTTTTGTTGAAAACCCCACCATGCGAGCATCCTCATGAACTGCCCCCCTTAAACCGCCCCGCCGCATAGATTTTGTTGTAAACCAGGCATGCGAGCATCGTGATTGCAAATGGGGGGGGCTGCGCCCCCCCCAACCCCCCCGCTGTGTAAGCCGTGTGCCAGGTTGCATGACAGCATAGGAGTCGTGACAGCACATACGCATGTTTTTACCAACCACGCGAGCATCATCCTTGCAAATCGGGGGGGCTGCGCCCCCCCAACCCCCCCACTGCTTTAAACCATGTGCAAGCTCGCGTGACCGCAGCTTTGCTTGACAGCAGATATTCTTGTTTAAAACCAACCATGCGAGCATCTTGATTGCCGCCGTTAAACCCCCCCGGCCGCATGCGATTTGCGGTAAACCAGCCATACGAGGATCGTGATTGCAACTGGAAGGGGTTGCCCCCCCCCCAACCCCCCCGGCTGCTATAAGCCGTGATTGCATGACAGCATAGCAGTCGATGCCTAGGATATCCTAGGATGAATCTTTTACTTAGAAGCAGCACCCTTCACCTTGTGAAAAGTGTGATTGCAATTGGGAAGCATGCGCCGGGCGTGCGAGAGTGGCATGCTTGCTTGACAGCACATACGCGTTTTTTGACCAACCATGCGAGCATCATGCTTGCTAATGGGGGAGGCCGCGAGCCGGAATTCCCCAATAGCTTGACGCAGGAAAACAAGCTCGAACACTGGAATCTCCCAGTAGCTTGACGCACAAGCAAACCCTGAACAAACTACACTCCCGCGACAGCTTGACGCACAAACAAACCCTGAAAACTAGAATCCCCCCGAACCCATATCCCGCCAAACCTTTTAAACATAACCTGGCCGCCAAACCTTAAAGAAAAAGACTCCACCCAGCAGCAACAACAACATGAACACCAAGAGCAGTAGCAACACCAGTAACAAATAACACCAAAAGGCATGCAACCACAACGAGAACAACAGGAAGAACAGCAACAACAACGACACCACCAGCAGCAAAATGCAACAACAGCACCAACACCAGCACCAGCACCACCACCACCAACAAGCACAACAACAACAACAACATCAACAACAACAACAACAACTACTACTACTACTACTACTATTATTACTATTACTATTACTATTACTATTACTATTACTATTACTATTGCTATTACTATTACTAATACTATTACTATTACTATTACTATTACTATTACTATATTACTATTACTATTACTATTACTATTACTTTATTACTATTACTATTACTATTACTATTACTATTACTATTACTATTACTATTACTATTACTATTACTATTACTACTACTATTACTATGACTATGACTATGACTATGACTATGACTATTACTATTACTATTACTATTACTATTACTATTACTATTACTATTACTATTACTATTGCTATTACTATTACTATTACTATTACTATTACTATCCATATTCCTATTCCTATTCCTATTCCTATTCCTATTCCTATTCCTATTCCTATTCCTATTCCTATTCCTATTACTGCTGCTACTACGACTACTACAACTACTGCAACTACCACTACCACGACTACTACAGCTACAACTACAACGACAACAACATCAACAACATCATCAACACCAGCAGTAACAACAACAACACCACGAAATCCGTACAAAATGCGACAATGCACGGAAAAGCCGATTTTCCCGAGGAACAACCAAGGTAACGTATGTTTTCCTGCTGAAAACCTAAGGAAACGACACGGAAGCCGTAGGAAAACAGTGTTTTCCCTACGAAAAACCAAGCAGGCGTCTCTCCACCCAGACCGCAACCGCAGAGTCTTAGAGTTTCAATCCAGAAGCTTCGCGGATGCTATAAGCGCGCGGGGCAAAAAAGAAGTGTGAGAGACACTGCAGCATTGTGGCAGGAGCTTCTGACAGTCCAGCAGCTGCCGCGAGACGAGCGAAGAAGTTTGGGAAGCTTTGAAACCGAAAAATCCACAAAAATCCAGAAAAAATACGCAAGGAAGAATTCCAGTCAGAGGTGGAGAACGGTCACGGCCACCAGGCTAGATTCCGAAAACCAAGGAAAGCATAACTAAAACCAGGAAAATATACAAAAAAACCAGAAAAATACACAAAAAAGAACTCCAGTCAGAGGTGGAGAACGGTCACGGCCACCAGGCTAGATTCAAAAAGCCAAGGAAAACAGAACTAAAACCAGGAAAATATACAAAAAAAACCAGAAAAATAGACAAAATAAATACTCGCTCCTAATTAATCAATAATTAGTACCACAGAGGCCTTTATGCCAGGCAGATTCGCACGCTTGATATCTTAACGCTCTGATCGCAGCGCATTATCAGCCAGATTCCTGCCTCTGTTCCATAGCACAGCCTCAAGTTGGGAAGAAGTCTTTGCATGCTAGGAGGTGGAGTGTTCGTCTTCGTGACAGCTGCTACTGCTAATGTTTCTGCAGTGGCTAGTGCTGAGGCGGCTAAATTATTTGGCCTCAGCACATCAGACGTTCAGACGTTCATGAAACCGTCTTCTCCCCAGCTGAGCCTTTGCGAAGGCCGCCCTATTTAAAGTTTCAATGCTCGCCGAGTAGCAACAGGAGACTGCTGGCTTGGATCCATCTCCGAAATCTTGAACCCCAAAGCAGCGCAGACTTAAGACCGGACCTGTCTCCCCGAGTTAGATTAAGACGTGCTGCCTGCAAGCAAACTATCAATGACTTATCTCCAAGAACAAATAAGAACAACGTTTAATTCACAGTAGAAGGCAGAGCAAACATAGGATCGACACCTGTCACTCCCAATGTGCACGAGCCACATGCCGTCGGGTCTAGCGAGTATTAAACTCGCCACGTTCTCGAGTCCATGCGCTTCTTCGGCTAGGTACCCCTCCTGTTAGTTTAGTATACTCTATGCAAGGCGTAGGATCCCGAAACCTCGTGGCATTGTGTCGAAAGCCAAACGTCGTATCGCACCCAAGGAGAGTTGCAGTGTCGCTTCTCTCGGCTTGCGACTTTGTAATTAGAGAGGCGGAGGTGCTGGCAAAGTGTCATGTGCATGTGGAAGAAGGAAGAAGTTCCCCGGATGGTTATTCGAAGTGCTCGGTGTTGCGTATGGTTCGCAGCCCTGACAACTTGCAGCTTTGACCTCGGAGTCCGAGAACCTCACGAGTAAGTCTCAAGCCTTTAAGTTAGGAAGGCTTGTCAGCGCTACTGAACTTTGACTAGCTCTGACTAGCTGGGGTTGTCTTCCTTCAGGGAGCCACAGGATCCCTTGTCACACAGGAAGCACCGGAATTTGTTGCGGCGACTCATGCCTCGAAAGGAACGTGCTTGCCTAGGCCGACACTCAAATTTCAGGACCTGGCTTGTTCTGCTGTTGAAACCTCCAACAAAGTCTTGTGGGGCCACAGACAACTGAGCAGGGGTGGGTGGAGGAGTCTGATTCAGTGTGTGTTCCAGGGTGCCAGGTGAGAGAATTAGCACTGCAGATGTCGTACGAACAACAGATCGTTCTTCTATCGCACCCGGCAGAAGACTAAGCCCATCAGTTCGAACCCAGCAATTGTAGTGGCCAATAATGCGCACAAAGGGTGATAGGGTCTCGTGGTGGTTATCCGCCTCAGTGCTCTCGTCGATTCCACAGCCTCCGAGACTTGTCGCAAATTAACGCATTGTTGCGAGTATGTCGCCGGTTTGGTGGGCACTGACGGTTCATTCCTTCAAACATTCAGTGGCAAGTTGAAGTAATTGACGTGGGCAGATCGCTCCAAGCTCCAGGGCTTTCCACAAGAACTGATTGCAGCCCATACCACATGCAAGTGCAGGAGATGTCACACAGAACCATTTCGCCGACGGTTGGCCTCTTAGACAAGGTGGCTGCTTCGATTTCTGTTTCAATCATTGTTGGTGGTTGAATCAAGGTGATAGGACCAGTATCCTGCGGGCTGATAAATGCTGCCAGGACGACTGCACGAGAAGCGGCGAATGAACCAGAAAAGCAGTCTGGGAATGAGCTTCTGAAGATAGCCCGTCCTACAGAAACACAGAAGTCACAGAACCGCTCTGATCAACTGCCTTGAAAAAACCTAAGCTGATCCAAACCCCCGATGCACGCAGGGGCGGCCCATGCCCTGGCCCTGCGAGCGCTGGGCCGCCGGGAAGCTTCCCCTGGCAGGCCACATTTCTTTCGATCTTACAGGGCTTTCCGGGGCTAGGGCGGCTAGGGCTTGGGTGTGTCGTCGCATCCTCCGGGGCTGTAACGGATGCTGTGCTTCTTCTTTGTCAAGTCAAGCGAGACTGATCCCATGCACGGGCTCTCAGAGACGGTTCAAGAGTAGTACAGGAAAGCCTGGTCGAGGTTTGTCCGGTCCGATCCCAACTAGATTCTGCAATTATTTAGTTTTGGTAGTTTGCGCCTCATATGAGAGACATGAGTAACGAGTAGAGTAAAGACGAAGAGTGTATGAGTCGGAAGGGTCTTTCTGCGATCTGCTTAACCACTGCCGGCTCCATGCTGCGACGCGGAGAAAAAAGCGCAGACAGCTTTGAGACTTCCTACGCATTCCAAATGGTCGAACCCGACGCAGAGCCGTGGAAATCCTTCGGGGTAGGCATCTGCGAACCCCAGTTGCACTGGTAAAACAACTTGCGCGCCTTGTGCAAGGCCTTTGGACATCATCGTCTGCTACTGTGGCCCGGCTGCTGAGTATTAAACCTGACTCACATGAGTCTCGGATTTGTTGTGCGGCTCGCCCTGCAGGCAGGTCAGAGGTTTCAGACTCTGCCCCATGCTGTGTCCTTCAACCCCACCACGCCGACATCCCAAAGCCTACTGTAGCCATTAGCAATGAGAGCAAGTAGTTGAGGACCGGTAAGGAACGCTTTGTGCAGCCATGCCCATTTGTGCCCTGCTCGCGCCTTTGAAGGCTCCGAGCGTCTTTCTTGGCTTCGAGCCTTCCACAAATTGCCGTGGCGGGACGCTGCTTGTCCAAAAGCTTCTGACAAGCATGCGCAAGCTGGTGCTGACCGGCTTTATACTGACAGGGGATGTCGTGGCGTTCGTGCCTTTCACATTGTGCAGTAACACTTCGAATCTCGCACTCGGTGATTGCTCTCAGGAAAACCGTTCTGCCGCAATTCGTGAACTGGTGACATTGAGGATTTATCACAAGCCGCCTGGCCGCATCCTGGCAAGGGCTGTGCCTGCTTGTTCGGCTTCTGCGCCACTAGCTTCGAGACTCATGTCTGACAGACACCAGAGCATCCGGAGAGAAATCCAAAACCGGGAACATGACAGCTCAAAACCCATCAGGACACAGCGAGCAACGATTGCAGCACACAATCCTTCGTCAAGTAAGTTCGTACGTGTTGCATTGCAGTGTAACTCTGCCCTGCAGTTGGTTTTGCGGACAAGGTGCGGCGGCTATGGCACGGGCGTGCGAGAGGCATTGGCCGACACACCAAAATCCGTGCTGTTTGTTGGGCCTGAACTGAGGACATGTTGTCTCGCACTTAATCATCACCCGCTGTTCAGCTGAGTTTTCCGAAGGATAGGCAGAAAGCACTAGGATCGAGATGTCAGGCGTCGCTATCAGGATCCCTCTAGGCCGCCTGATGTCCCAAGACGCAAATCCTTGAGGCGGAAAGCGAACGCCTTCGTACCGAGTGGGGGCCGTACTTTCTGGACGTCGATGCTCCTTGGCGGCTCAATGCGTGTGAAGATGAGGCGATGAGTGAAGCACGACAGGCCCCGAGTCATCCGGAGCTACGCATCTACACGTCAGTAGCAAGGACTCCCTTGCCCTGGCAGTCTCAAACTCGTTCTGCTTGTTGCCTAGCGTGCTTGTATCCAAGCAGATCCCGGCACTGACATTGAATCGAAAACAGCTCCGAAATAGCCCGGACTGCAGAATGCAGACCTACAGAAAGCAGCAGGTGCGATATGTGGACGACGTCTTGCGGGCCGATGATGACTCAGCCTACTTGGCGTTCATTATCGACTGGCGACCAACCTGCAGCTATCAGGGTCAAGACGCATGCTACCATAGATGTTTGGCAGCACCTTGTCGGTGTTTACGTTGGACCCCTACTTATACGGCGTTCGTCATTATGAAGTGCCAGGTTGCTGTCGCAATTCAGGGGCAATGTTGCCGCAGTTGAATCCACGCGTTGCGGAGGGTCTTTCAAGACCCCGCAAGGTACGAAGATTTGCCAGAGTACACCGTGTTCCTCCATGCTGATGCGCCGGAGAAGCTCGCCGAGAACATGCCGTTGAGGGAGCGAATTCGCATCGAGAGGATTTACCCTTACATACCATACCCTGGCATGGGGACGCAGGACAGGCTAGGCAATTTCAGGTACCACGAGGCGCTGAGTGGCTGGATTGCGGACATGCGTCACCATGTAGTCATGCCTCGTTGTTCTCATAACTAGACCCGAGACCCTGAGGTGAAATCAACATTATAAGCAGTGGAAATGTTGCAGATCCAGGCACATCCCATCGTTGGAGCTCTTGACAGACTCCGTTTATGCTGCCATCCGTGGTTTTCTACCGAGTGGTATTGGTACCTTGGTTGAAGATGGATGGTGTAGCCTTAGAGTTGGCGAGTGTGTTCGACTGCGCCTTCTAATTTCTGAAGCTCTTCACCCCTGGACCGAAGGCTTCAGCTCTGTTTTCCTAGGCTTCGTTCACTTCGCCCACAACTATGTATTACTGGACTGGGGCTGCCGCTTGACAGCACAAACAAGCAAGATGCAGTCTGAAAGTCTTACAAAACTGGACCTGCTACAAGTCAGCTACCAGTTGAAACTGTCATAGTATATATACTATATACGATACAATATACTATTACGATATACTATATACTATATACAAAGTTCTAATATGCTGTATACTATATACTACATGCTGTATACTGTATACAACAAACTATAACATACTATATCCTGGTATCTTATCGTATATTATACCATGAACTTCGCAGTCTCTGGCCTGCCCCGAGCTGCAGGCGACCAGCGCAAAGATTGCGAAGGTCGACAGCTTGAGCCGGACGGGGCCTCCACGACCTCGCTTGTCAGAGCACTAGTAGTAGTCGTCGTCGCAGTAGTAGTAGTAGTAGTAGTAGTAGTAGTAGTAGTAGTAGTAGTAGTAGTAGTAGTAGTAGTAGTATAGTAGTAGCAGTAGTAGTAGCGGTAGCGGTAGCGGTAGCGGTAGCGGTAGCAGTAGCAGTAGCAGTAGCAGTAGCAGTAGCAGTAGCGGCAGCAGTAGTTGTAGTAGCAGTAGTAGTAGTAGTAGCAGCAGCAGTAGCGGTAGCAGTAGCAGTAGCAGTAGCATATCAGTAGTAGTAGTAGGAGTAGTAGGTAGGTAGTAGTAGTAGTAGTAGTAGTAGTAGTAGTAGTAGCAGTAGTGGTAGTGGTAGTGGTAGTGGTAGTGGTAGTGGTAGTAGTAGTAGTAGTAGTAGTAGTAGTAGTAGTAGTAGTAGTAGTAGTAGTAGTAGTAGTAGTGCTAGTAGGGTTGATGATATAAATCCTGCTTTACTCTTAATAAATAATACACCATAATTCCCAAAGTTTAGGGTTCTTAACGTAATGCAGGATTTTTTTCATCATCAACCGTATGTTCAGGGGCTTCAAACGGTGGGATGACGATAGGTGGGATAGTCCCAAAATAACAGTCCTTATATACGGGAACCGAAATCCTGCCAACCTTCATCCCACCTGTTGAGGCCTCCAATATGTAGCGCTCCCCCAACGTGGGAGGGAGGAGAGCGGCGAGATCTTCCTGCGACCTGGGGGCCCTTTCTTCACTGCTTCCCGAGAATCCACCCCCAACATTCGAATCCACTTCGGCTTTTGACCCTGGAGATGTGTCACCATGTTAGATTTAGATTTGAGATTCAGACCTGCTATTAAAAGCCATTTGTCTTTGGAGTGCTTGAGCCTGGCTCAGCTGGCTCCGATCATCGAGTTTCTGTTTTCGCAAGAGCCATTTAAACCCGAGACCCTGAAACCCAAAGCCCGGCCTTCACCCGACAAAGACTGCAGGAGTTCTCGACCCTGTGGAAGCGTGTTTTCGGCGCTTCTGTCGCGCCAAGCCTGGCGGCCGGGCATGTGTCACGTGGCACCAGTATCATTGATTATTGGGTGTAGTACATTAAGTATAAGCAAATGTAGCGAAGCTTTCGAAGATCATGTCATTGCGGAGTCTGGGCTTATTCCTTGCACTGGGTGGCTTTGCGAGCAAGCCTGCGAATTTCGACGCCTTGCACTGTGAAGACTTGCTTCCAACAGTAAGGGCCAAACCCGTTGTTGATTCAGGAGTTGTCGATGATGGCCTTAAGGTGTTAACAAGGCTATCACAGCTCATGAGTCATGAGGCCATGGCGAACGCATTGTGCTGTTTGCAGTTTCCCCAGCATGATTCCAGTGATTTTGTGTTTCACTTTTGCCCCGAGGAACGCCTACTGCTGCGTGCAGTTCATGGTGCATCGCAGCCGCATCCGTTTGAGGCCGCACGGGTAAGTAAGTGTATGAAAATAGGTAAGTAGGGGCAACTTAAGGAATGGAATCGGGTTCAGTCGAACTAGGCCGGGCGCTGTGAAGCAGGTTTCCACGAAACAGGACAAAGAAACGCACAGAAAGTAGCTGAGAATGCTAAAGTATTGGTCGACGAGTGTGAGGACGGGATGTGGCTATAGCGAGGCAATCAAAATTAGAGTGAGGTAGCCTGCCCCCAAATTTGCATATCCGCCCCTGCACGATCCAGAACAGACCTTGGATCCTCAGGATTTTGCTTCACGTGAAGTGCGCATTCTCAACTACGAGTGCTTTTGACATGTCATGTATTTATAACTTTCAGTAGCCCGACTACCGCAAGACTCAACTCTTGTGCTCTTGGGCTTATGTTCGGCATCGCCGCTGTGAGGCCGAAGTCTTTCTACGAGCACGGCTTGGCATACTTTGGGCCGCTCGTTTCACAGTGTTGCAGCAGTCAAGCGGCAGCCTTCACGAAGTCCAACGCTCGCCTACATGGCAGGGAGGAGGTTTGGGGGTAGATTCGGTAGATGAATAAATCATCAGGATCCATCGGTGTACGAATGGAATGGATGCTGTTGTTGAAGGAAGGACTCAAGGCAGAGAGCCGCCATTTTCTCGCTTGCCAAGGACCACGGCCGAATCCTACCACCGGCTCTTCCCCGTGGGGCGTACCGTGGTTGAAATCAATAGTCGGGCGGGTCTTTCTTCAGATGTGTTTCGATTCCTCGTTCACGTGTTCCAAACTCTTCCAGATGGCGTAGCACTCATTCTGCTTTCAGAAGTTCTATTGGAAGACGAAGCTAGCAGCTAGAATCCCGGAACACCAGCTCTATTCTCCGCACGGCGGTGTCCTAAGCCCCAACCCTCCGGTCTCGAAGGTGTGGTCCGGAAGGCTGATGTGCCACTTTGCTGCAGCTTGAAGTTGGAGAAAGGACATCCCAGGATGTTGGAATGTGTTGGGTTGACAAAAGGGCCATCAGTTGGAACAGCGATTGGAGTTGGAGGTCTCTGAGGTTCGACGGCCTTTGCCTGAAGTTTCCCTACACCGCTCATACTTTCGCCCCGTTCGAGCTAGACCTACAGAACTCCACACTGCAGAAGCCCCGCGCCATGGTAAAGTCGGCGGTTGCAGTCTTGAGACCTCGCAGCTTATTTATGTTTAGATTACGTGCGTTTTCTTTGCATCCAGGTTCGGCCGCACTCCTGGACAGCTTCCTGGCAGCAGGTAAAGCTGGTTTGCCTGCACGGTGCTGGCCAAAGGCTTTCTGAACTCTGGATGTGGACTTCTCATGGTGTGTTTGTCACAGTCGGAAAGGCACTCAGCCAGGTTCGGGCGACCTTGTGCTGAACATTCTTCAAGCAACGAAATCACTGAGCTTCAATACGGCGTTTTGGCAGCGAGGTACACAATTCTGATGCATTTACCATGGCGGACAGTTAGGGGCCCCTAGGGCCCTAGGTGTCAGAGCTTTTTAGAGACCTACCCTCATTGTTGCCGAGACAGATGTGTTGCGCGCCGCTGAGAGGTCCCTACACACCCATCGTTCAAGAGCTCGTGAAACAACGCTTTGTTTGGGCACAGCCCGCTCTTTGTTGTGATGCATGGTGCAATGGACAGCAATAACTTGTCCGTATCTAGTTTGACGGCAGTCTCCAGGATTGCAAACACATCTTACTGAATTTTGCTTGAACCTGTCCATGTCCAATCAACATAGGGGCCACGAAGAAAGAGCTCCAGAAATGAATAAGCCAGTGAGTGTATGTGCGCGTATGTATATCTATATACATATATGTACACAACAGAAGGTACAAAGCTTCGACATCGTAGTACCTCGTCTTTGCATGGCGTTTCCAGGCTCGCTATGTACATTTGGCACGCCATGTTCGGCGAAGCCCTGAAGCTGCCCCGACGGCAGCAGGCATGGGTTTAGGGTTTAGGAGGATGAGAGGGGGTCGAGATTTCGGGTGTGCAGGCAGGAGAACTTTGGAGTTGGCCTACTTGTCTTACATGTAAGGCAACTCGTTTGTAGTCAACGGTCATATGTAGAAGTGTTGGTGCTCCTGCATCGAGGCATCCTAAGCTCTACTTAACCAGGCTTGTACTTGTCAGGCACGCCGGTCCGGGTGCTGATCAACGTGGTAGCCACAGTTCAGAAACATGGTTTTGGCGGCTGAAACAGCCAAGAATAAGAGGTCGGTTTGCGGCCATATTATTCTTCATATTTTCCAGCCACGGTTCAGAAACACGGCTGTGGTGGCTGAAACAATAACAGGTCGCACCAGGTGCGTTTTGTTCGTGGCCACACTATTCTCCATACTTTGCAGCCACGGTTGAGAAACATGGTTTTTGTGTCTGAAACAGCCCAAAATGACAGGTCGCACCCCTCGCACTTGTAGGTTATCCTCCTAGGTTCATAATGTCATAATGGTTCATATAACATACATTTATCTTGGAAAGTGGCCCCAACATTGCATTTGGTCGACAAGGACCAGCGCCTGCCGCTGTTCATGAAGATACAAAACGTGGAGGCAGAAGACTGAGACGATGCAGGCTTACGTGTCTGGAGTGTGCTTTTGTGAGAGCTATGTATTGGCCGCAAGGTTAACAATGATTGCTACGCAAAAGATGGAAGATGCAGTTGCTCAAGTTTGATGCCTTGAAACTCGAACATGTCGGCAAGAGCTGCGGCAATTCCCATGTGTTCCCAATTTCAATTCGTCACGATAGCTTGTTTTGGAACGATCAAAAAACCCTGGCGGCCTTCAACTATGAACCGGGTTTGCAGCCTTCACATCCGCTGGCATGCTCTTTCAGATGCTTTGCTTGTTTTGACGATCATAGTGCATAGATGCGGTTTCAAGTCTTTTCCGGACAGCAGTTGGTGTCTGAACAGTACCTCCTGAATGAGATGTTCTTTCCATGGATAGCGCCATCTCTCGCAACCCTTGCGGGAGCTTGGCCCGGGTGTTTCGTCTAATCCAGGTAGAGGCGCTGGAGGAGGATGCCACTACCTCGGATGCACGCCACCCAGTCTGCGGGATCCGTCTTGCTGCTAAGCTGCGCAAAATTCACGTGCGAGACATGCGCAGGGCACCACAGAGAATATTTAAGCCGTACAGCATCAACCTGACATGTTGAGACCTGAGCTTTCATTCAAACCAGGCCCAAAGAATGAAACCTTTAACACAAGGCCGGGCCCGCTTGGCCCCAAAACCTCCCTTAGCCCATGTACGCCTTCGAAAGCCTTGGCGCACAACGATTTCTAAAGTGGAAACTTCTGTGCCATAACGCGAAGCACTATGCTCCGATCCTACCCAGCTCCGCTCGGAACCCAGCAGTCAATGTAGTAGTCCAATTGCAGTCAGCGCCATGTTGGGTAATGCTCCTGGCGAGGCCGAGATAGAGCAGCTGGCTCACGCGAGTCGTGCCCTCTGAATTCGAGGGCTAGACTCACTCTTTTGATTGGGTCCATTCCGTGGTGGGTCGGGAAATACTGTTGAGGGACCAACGCAAGAGTCAGAAAGTCGATCGTACATGCTTTGTGCTGGTTGTTGTTATTGTTGCTCGTCTGGGTGTGGCCCCAGGCCATCTCATCGAAGCGGGTCGGAACTCGATCTCCGCACGCCTGGGTGCTCTCTTCGACGAGTGAGTCCGAAGAGTAGTTTGGGATCTGGCAGTTTAGGGTGGCTCCTCGGGGTGCGTAGGAGAGGTCCGCAGAGGTCATGCGCAAAAAGTCCCACAGACCGAGGTTAGGTGCCAGGGGAGGCCAAGGCTGCTAGAGGATTCAGTTCGGATGATTCAGCGTCTTGATGGATCCAGGGTGTTTGCAGCTTAAAGAGTTAGCGGATGATTGCGGAGCAATTACATAGTGCTCTTCAGTTAGTGATGTTTCCCAGAGCAAGGCTTCGGGCAGTTCTGCACGCGTGCTAGTTGAAACATTGAAGGCTCATGACGATTCCGAGAGTTTGAGGCACATCAAAGCCTTCAGAAGGGCAGCAATGCTTTCGGTAATGGGTGGTCGAGGGTTTTCAAGCCGCTCGACATTCAATTAGACATTACTCGACGCTTTGTGCTTGGACTTCGGACTTGGCGTAGGTCGTGACTCGTGACGCGCTTTCAATGACATCAAGTATAGAACGAGTGAGAATGCCACGGTATGGTTCAGCTTCTGGTCTGAGTCTTAGTTGGTCACCGTCACCGTATGAAGTATACAGATACTTGAACTGGAGCTAACTGAGCTAGCTTCCGTACACACCATCGAAGTCGCCTGCACAAGCTTCGAGGCACAGAACTTGAAAAAGTTCAAAACATCCGATCTATTGGAATCACTTTGGCATTTCCGGACGATCTGGTTTAGGCACCAGTTCTCGGAGGGTAGCAGCAAGACGAGCAGGAAGAAACGCGACTTGCCCACCAGCTTGTCCGCAGAGCGTGCATCCGCAACGACAGCTACCTCAGCGCAATTCAAGCTGCATCACCTACGTTGCGGTACCCATCGTGACCAATAGCATTCCGTGAGTTATGCCGGTTATGTAAGTTCTGCTGGGCACGCTAACGGCAAGATCCCAACAAAGAGAGTCTTGCAGCCACAGATTTGAGTCCAGCGCGTCTTGTCACCAGCACATGCATCGGTAGCACAGCACCATCGCATTCCGAAGCACCCACAGCAGCTTAGCCTGGGCCTGCAGACCGCCATGGCAGCTGCCTGCAGTTGGCTTGTCGGGGCATGGATCCCGGAATTCTCAGCATGCACATCGTCATTCTGAAGACGTAAGCCGCTTCACACCACGGATTTCCGACCGAAAGGGCCGATCACTGGCTTATCCAAAGAGCATGCCTGCGCAACTTGACATCTGCCGCAGCACGCGCCCCGGCCTTCCAAAAAATGCATGGGACGCTTCCAAGGTCCTGCTCCTGGGCTGCCTGGCTTGGCCCTCGCAAAGCCTTGCTGTGGTCGGCTATGTGCCAGACTACCGCCGCCAAGCGAGATTAGATTGGAGTGTTAAAGCATGTTAAAGCTGAAAGGCTTAAAGCTTTGGGGAGGTTGAAAGGTTTCAGGTTGGATTTGCGGGACTTGGAAGTTTCAAGGAGGTTTCGGAGACGTTGTGGGACTCTTGCGAGTTCAGATGCTGCTTCTTAAATTCAGAGCTTCGGTAACTAATAATGCTCACCGATGGCGGTCTCCACCTTGAAGCCCGCACGACTCAAGCCTGTTGTAGCAATCTTCGCAGGATGAACGGCGGGTCCGCCAGAGGGTTTAGAATCGATCATGCTAATGTCATCCCCGATTTTGTGACTTGCAGTTTTTTCACAAAGGACCCACTGTGTTCCTTCGTCATCCCAGCAAGCTGTGCGGATTTTTCATGTCAGATCTCCCGGTTGGGACAATAGAGCTTGGACTAGGGGTGCAGCCTTTCCCAGGGCAGAGAGGGGCTTGGATAACGGAAAGTATCCAGGAGCCCCGCTCACGCATCGTTCTAGCCGACATTCGATTGCGGACTTCCAGGCTTCAGCGACATCGACTGGAGCAAGGACTGGGCAGCTTCCTTGTTTTGACTGAGAGTTGCTGAAAGATTTGAGATTGAGATACTACCCTGGGCCCCCTGGGCTCAACCATCGGGTCCCTTGTTGCAACCAGCGAGAAAGTCTGGGCAGGTCGTCGCGCGAACATCGCACGTTGTTCTCTTCTCGCTCACGCCGACTCAGCAAGGACTGCAAGAGCGCTGAGTGGCAGTGGGTGGTGCGCGGCGTGCACAGTGTGGTGATTCCAGTGACGATCCAAAGGGAGCATGTATGGGACCGTCGTTGCTTGAAACCGCGTTTCTGGGGCACCCCTCTTTGCATGCCCGTATCTACATCCCAATCAAAATAACACCCAGAGCTCCCCATGCTGGAGGATTGGAGGGAACGACGCTGATCCGAAACCTTCTGCATCCGTACCTCGGCATTGGGGCCTGCTGTTCGCGGTACAGGCGCGCACTTTCCCAGAGCTAACGCATTCCACCAGGCCATGAGAAAAGAAAACTGTTGCGAGCCATTAATCCGACAAAAGATGTCTTTCTTATGCGCAGTCCTCCTGGAAATGTGCTTCGCCTCCAGAGCATGATGCACAGTAGTAGTATCACTGCAATGGCTTCGTGTATTACGGAAGTGCACACCAGACCGTGAGGCCCAAACTCAAAAGTGGCAGGTCTGCCCGGCCCGTCCTGAGGAACCCAAACCCCCATCTGCTGCATGCGTGTCCACATCTTGCAGCGGTGATCTGAGGCAGTCTCCACTGCATCTTGGAGTCATTTCAGCACACAAGGCTTTTAGTACCAGGTGAGGCATGGTTACCGTTTTGACCGTGCAGAGCTCTAGTGGGCGCGGTACTTGCTGGGAAGGGCAGCAGGCATACGGTGTTCGCAGACGCCACAACTAGATCGCTGCTGCGATCTGTCATTATGAGTGCCCGGTTTGGTTGCTACTACAGGGGCCTAAATCATTACCTCTACTATTTTGGGCTTCCTTATCACAAGTATAGTATAATGGGCGGCTATGTGACACACATCCCATTCAGTCGTTGCAGCTCTCACACTGCCGTCGGAGCTCAGGTCCAAGGTCCTCGCACACCAGGGCTCTGAGGCCGCCAAGGTGCTCGCATCTCGGCTCGGGAGTTCTTCGGAACTACGGAAGGGTTTATTGTAGGATGGTTTAGGGTTTGTTCGGTTTTAGCCCCCCAATAGCTTCTTTCTCCATCTTCTCCGAGGTCAGCGTTGGTGGAGCTGGACGTTCGCAGGATTTCGCAGCTGCTGTCTCCAGCAAGAAGGGTCGCAAACGCCACTCGGTGACGTCGTTCGTTTTTCGCTGCCTGTGGACTACACTGTGCCGCACGATGACATGTTTTTCATGGTCTCACAGCCTGCTGTTCTGAGTCGTCCAGGCATAACC